ATTCTAGAGACCAAAGGGTTTTCGGGCATGAAGCAGGACCAAGAGGCAGGAATCTCCTAGAAACCAATTGGATGAAGTAAGAGCTGACGGAAGATGCCCACAGATGGATGAATTTGACCTACGCTCGGCCAGTTCGTTTCACATCGCTGACATGGCCAGAATGTATGGCTTCCCGCAGAGACAGCTCAACGAATCCACCAGACCAGCCGCCAAATCTGTCAACGTAAGCGCTTCCACGGTTTACTTTCACGATCTTGCTGACATGCGACTTAGATCAACAGCAGAGTGATGGTGGACTATGACGCGTTCTCTCAGTACGGAGGGGCGGACGGAAGGAACGGCGGGCTCAAACCAAGTCTGGGAGGCACCGGATGCGGTTGTTCAGACTGTCAGGGGAATGATCGGCTGTCGCAGCGATATCGCACCAAGTTTGACGATCGCAAATTCGTGAGAACAAACTCAATTTGGGATGATGAGCAGTATCTCATATGCCCACCTCGTGTGCTGGGCTATATTCTCCAACAGAAGCAGTGGGCCCAACTTCAAGTAACACAACTTCGATTTCTGGGAGCAGAGGACGAAGGGAACGCCTGGGAGTCCCGGCTTAAGTTGGCCGACGACATAGACAACAATCAGATCAAGGGAGGAAAGAAGGATGAGATTAAAAGGGGCAAGAAAGGTAAGATCCTTTGGGCTTGAAATTGAGCATGGCTTAGCTAACTCTCCTTGAATTATAAAAGGAACCACTACGAAAGACTTCCTTTTAGATCTGGTCGGGTCTCATGCGTCTAAAACGGCGCGCAAAAACCACGTTGATGAAGACGACCATAAACTTGAGGTCAACGACATTATCACAGGCAAGGGGAAGGGTCTCGTCATCCTTCTGTATGGTAAGAGGCAACTTATGCGTGTATTTCTTGTCGTGAAGTTTGCGCATTTCTCATAAGATTAACGGTTGCAGGCCCCCCAGGTGTTGGTAAAACGTCCACAACCGAGACAATCGCCATCGCCACCCGAAAACCATTGTTCTCTATCAGCGTCGCTGATGTAGGGACAAAGGCCAAGCACGTCGAAGCTAATCTCCAGAGAGTCTTCGATCTGGCAACGAAGTGGCAAGCAATTCTGCTCATGTCAGCGCTCCTGTTTTGACTGGTTTGCAAACTTGGCTGATCATTCTGCAGTGACGAAGCTGATGTATTCCTCGAGAGCCGCGGTCGAGGCAATGCTATTCGGTCGACAGATAAGAACGCTTTGGTTTCTGGTGAGTACAATGCGTCGAAAGAAGTTCCGCAACAGCAAATTGACTCAGGTCTTAGTGTTCCTGCGTGTGCTTGAGTATTATCAAGGGATAATGTTTCTAACGACTAACCAAGTCGCCGACTTCGATATTGCTATTCCCTCTCGAATTCATATAGCAATTCGCTATGAGACCCTTAAGGCGGAGCAGATGGAGGCTATCTTCACTGGCTTCCTAGACGAGCTGGACAAAAAAGGTCTTGTACATGAGTACGACGAAATTAAGGACTGGCTCGACGAGGATGTTTACAAGGAGGACCTCGACGGAAGACAGATTCGCAACATTGTTACCACCGCTCTTGGTCTGGCGCGGGCCGGGAGTGGCCGTGGACAGAGCAACAAGCTGCAAAAGGCACACATGAAGACGGCCTTTTCTAACGTCAGCGCATTCAAGCGAGACTTCAACACTCAGATGGAGCGGTACAAAGAGGGTCAACAGAAGATGATCAAGTAATATTAAGGAGGCAGATTTGGTTTGCGAGACGGCATTCTCGTCATCAAAACGCTAGGTCTTGTACTTACTGCCAGGCTGTCCCATCACATTCGTTACAGTTCTTTCACCTCGAGTGACCTGACTTACTTAAATAGAAGTATAAGCAAGGTTAGCAAGGTTATTTTCATGTAAGGGGCTTAGGGGATTGTACACTCATTATATAGATATGGGGTTTCTTCCCCTAGCCAGTCGTTCATCATACTCATCAGTATACACATAATGACCCCTGCCCTTTGACTGCTGCTCGATACTCCTTTTAGTCAGTATCAGAGTACACTGATCTCACCTCAGCCTACGATGATGCTGCCACTGCCACTCAGCCGTGATGACAGCTAGCTCAAAAGCAATACTCAGTGACAGAAACAGGTCATGCTCGGGTTCATGATAAGGAAAAGATCTGCATTTGCCACCTACTTCTCCCTGTTTGCCCCGTGACTCCTGTGCGGGCTGTTCGCATCGAGCACATTACTGCCAAATGCCAAAGCACTATCAACACTGGCATCATTGGTTCTAATCGATAAACATACAACGCCCTAACAAAACAGTCCTCAATCGTTCATCTATATGCAACGTTGATGAGCGCATCTAATTTTCATTCAACTGTCATGACCACCTATGGGCCAAGATAGGCGGGAACATGAAGACGGAAAATCAGAGCCTGTGGCTTGGGTACTTTGGGAGCGTTCGCTGGTGATGGAGTTCAGCCCTTTTGGAAATTGTCTTGGCCTCGTATTTCGTGCCTATGCGGTTTCAGTTGCTGCTGGTATTGCGGTTCTTCTCACAGACTCGATTCGGCCCAGCGAAAGCAGACCTAAGAAGCAATTTCCAGCCAGAATCCGTAGCCAGCATCAGAAATATGTCGTCTATGAACAGCTTGGAGCGCATAGTGAGGTGTATTGTGGGGTAATTAGGGTCTTCGCAGTTGATGTTTGAGAGACTTCAGCTGTGTTGTGGACATGATGACCATCGTCTGCCAGCGTAGGCCCTTATCGTCGGAAGACTTCAGCTTTCCCTTACTAATTGTATGCTCGAAAGGGTCCGACCATTCGAAATCACGGGGGCACGTAGAGGAATAGAAGAAGGCTTGGACTCTAAGAGAGTCAGTTTCCGAGAGACTGGTATCTATGTTCGAGACAGAATGCGCCAGACAGCGCCCACCCCAAGGCAATCAATCAAGTTTGAGCCTCGTAATTGACTTGATTGCCTCGCGATAGCTTCATAATTGATTGATTGATTGATTGATTGATTGAACTTGACAAGTTTACTTGCCTTGGGGTGGGCGCTAGCGCCAGATTTCGGATCGTGTCGAGAAGTGGCCACCCAAGTCTTACCCGAGACGGCAGCGGATGGCGTTGCCCAGCTTGCTCTGCTCTGGAGGCTGGAAAGTGGCTTGGTCTGGTGGAGGACATCTGAGGCTCAGACGAGGATCGGGCTCAGCGGTGGGCATCGATGAAGGCTAGTTGTCCGTCCTATTTGCGTAGATAGCACGGGTCTTCAGCATCCGGTCGTCAAGCAATTCATCATGGAGAGTGGTCACGAGGTTTTCCTTCAATTCCGTACCGTTTGCCCATTACACAAGGGGACCAAGCACGTAATCTAGGGCACAAACAGCGCTGGTTTCATCGGGTATGCCTTGAGCATGACACGGCACTTTCTGCTACAGCCTGAAATTCATAAGTAAAACAAGGTTGAGAACTTTCTCGGCAAAATTTGTCCTATCCAAAACCTACCCTCGTCCCAAACTACCGTCCCCAAAAGTCGGCAAAAGAATGAGGAGAGGTTCGGCAGCTTCGTGCTCCTGACCAGCCAGTATAAACGGCTTAAGCCCATCGGAAGACCGCTTAAATCCGCCCGCCGGGCTGCTCAGCTGATATCACAAAAGAGATGACGGCCTTGAACCTGCTGAGCGATCCGCCCAATCTCGATTTACTCCAAGCCCTGGAAATCAATGTGGGCGAAATATCGGATGACTTCATCTCCTTCTGGGAGTATGGGCCGTTCGGTTCAGGTGACTGCAATCAAATGCAATACTTTGCGTAAATCATAGTTTCTGTCGCTGTGCACCAAATCATGATCATTCTAGGGCTGGCCATGATCGAGTCCCTGCTCGAACCATAGACGAGGTGATGTCGTGAATAAGCTCAGTAAAATTGCTCATGTGTGTTGACTGTGTTTGATGGTGTGAATGTGGGCAATACACCTTCAAAAACCACGGGGTTGGGCACGGCATGGAGTAGCATACATGGCATTGGAAAGGTCAGCCATTTGCCGACTCATCCATCATAATCAATTTGGCTTCTCGGGTTCGATTTGCATGATCGGAAGTTACCCAGTAATCCTGATTCCTCTACGACATCCATTGCATTGATGTGCAAGCGTACTCTGGTCCAGAGATACTGCAGCGAAATTGGATTCTGGACTGCCCGACTGATTGACAAACGCACATGGTGCCGCCGCCAACCGTCGTGAAGAGGCGGTGCACATATATGAATCAGCATACGTGCAGGCTGTCTCTCTCCATCTGTTGAGAGGCCACCCTGCCAATCTAGCCTGAGAAAATGCTTCTGACGATGCTAGTAATGGCCTTGCATGGGCTTGCTGATGCTGAATTGGTACCCTGCCCCGAATCCTTGACGACCGCCGGCCCCATATCCCCGGGGCACCATGGGTCGACCTTCGCAGCCCCGCTTTTCGAACGGAAACCTGACGCGGAAGGACGGCACCGCGACCCGGCCTTCGGGCCAACAAGAACTAGCATGGGCGAGCTCTGACGTGTATAAACAGAACGGCGACAATAACAGCTTTGCTAAAGTGATGTTCACGGCCACCTTGGTGCATGCACTTATATCTCGATGGATGTGCGGAGATGTGGAATGCTTGATGGGGGCATTGGTTTGGCGGCGCAGTCTGTTGCCTTAGACCAAGACGGAGATAGCTGTGCGGACATTGCGCATCTTTGGAGGTGGCCATGACCGAGGACACGCGAAAGCTCTGGGCAGCTCCTCTTAGTGATCCTCGCCATCACCATGATGCAAGTCTGGTTCAAGTCCGCCATAATTAGGTCTTTTCGGAACGATCATCCACAGCACACGCTGTTCCCTAGTTTCATTTAAAATAAGATCAATACCGAAAACCACAGCACTATTCATGTATCAAGAATCTCAGACTTGAAAATTGGCCAATACGAGTTCTCTACCCAACGTGCAAGGTGCTATGGCGCAACAGGCGTGGTAATAATACCAAACCCGGTTGACGTCTTCCCGAGCTCGACCTCGCTGTAGAGGACGGATCTTCCATCTTTGATGGCGCTCGCAACAAAAGACCAACCGTGGCCATTGATGAGGACACCAGGCAGAAACGGTATGGCCGGCAAGTCGTTTGGGCATTTTGCCAGACCCCGCCACTGCGACGAGTGCCATGTTCCCAATATGCACCGTCGCCTTCTCGTGGTCGGCCCCGGAACCCTTAGTCTCGAACGACACGACGATGGGGCTCTTGCACAGGACATCATGATCCGTGTGGTTGATGGTGACTTCAGGCCGCATCTTGCAAACCTCATCAATGCAGTCGGCCTCAGGACTCCTAAGAGGAGGGCGGATAATCATGCAAAAGTCGACCATATTCGATGGTGATTCCTTGGCATTGTATGCCTTGGCCTCCTGGGCGCCGATGCAATATGTGTTGTCGACAAGACCATAATAATCGTTTGGCCGTAGCGCCCAATCCATCATCAGTAAATGAAGCTCAGTGTTCCAGCCCGATTCGCCGAGAGTATTTAGTTTGCAGTCTTCGCCTTGGTCGAGCAGTCCCGCAACGAGGCCTCGAGGTGGGAATCGGAATTCGGATATTCCAGGTTCCCTCTCTTCGGGAAAGGCGTAATCTGGTATATCGAAGCCGGCGTACTGGCGTTCGAGAAGTGAAGAGGCAGCACCTGGTCTACCTAGTCGACAACGAGCAGCCCCAGCAGAAGGGCATGGGACGGGCGGCTGCAGGGCGAAGAGAAGATTGCACCTCAGAGCGTATGTCTTGTGGTATCAAGTGGAAGGCCCGGCCCGATTAATGTCCTGTAGCTCTTTGACGAGCCTTGCGAGCGAAGGCGGTAAGTCGTCACGGCTCCTTGGGAACTCGCGATGTACGAGGCCGTCAGCCTCGAGGACCAGTCTCCTTGACTGTTTGGTTGGAGAGGATGTCTGCGATGTTACGCTAAACACTGGTGAGAGGATAGGGGCCTGCCGGTCGTTGAGATGCGACGCTCGTCGCGTGACGTTGATGTCGAGGGTATTGAGGGGAGTGTCCGCGCCTTGCTCTTCGTCGCTGTCGCCGTTGTCGATGGCCTGGCAGCGGTCATTGTGCTTCCGTTTTCGTCCTGCTTGATACGCGAAGTCCGTAAGACAGTGTGCAGAGGGTGTCGATTGCGACACAGGCGGCGATTAGGGGTGAGTTGCGTGCCGTCCTTCGAGTGTTGTGGTGGACTGGGTCTGGTTCGCTGGGAGAAACCCAATCGGAGGCCCTGATACTAGTGATGTGACTGGCCAGCCTTAGGATACCGCTGGTATCATAAGAGCAGGCCAATCACCTTAGGATACCGTCGGTATCGTAAGGGCAGGCTAATTAGAGAGACGATTCACCCTTAGGATGCTGTCAGTATCATAAGGGCAGGCCAATCTGTGGCCCTCACTTCAGGCCGCAGTTTTGCCGATGTGCTGACTCAGCCGCCCTGAAGCCCCACTGCGCCAATCGAGCTGACGTCACACTTGCTGCGAGCTGAATAAGAGCATCACAACCTATGAACTTGCCTAAGAATTGTGAAAAATATTATTGCCCGTGTCAATCTCAGAGATATTTATAGAAAGTTCTCAAGTTCAAAATTCACTGTTCACCGCAATGGTCTGCACACTTTTCCGCGTCTTGCACATCTTACGTGAAAACTACCATAGCACGACGTCATCCTAGCAAAAAGACCCTCGGCCATTCGTGATGAGACTGATTGCTGCGGCTTTCTTCTCAAACCGAGAAATTCCGAATTTCGATACTGGGAGGTGTTAGAAAGGCAAAGCATGGGCCCATATCCCGCGCACAAGGCCGTTGCATTGCCCGCACTCTCATTTTTCGGCGGAGTGGAGGCTCTTGACTGCCGCACCGTGTCCGGCTCCGAGGTATCCACATGGGCAGTCGATGCCGAAGTGGAGTGCTGCACGGTCTCACAATCTTGCACCTGCCTATATAGCTGTGGCGACTGCCTTTTGTGAAAGAAGCAGGCGCTGCAGGACCGCATCTGTTTGCAACAAACGACTTCGGCGGAGAAGGAGCCAAACAAATCCAACGACGTGCCATCATCACCTCCACCCAGCTTTTCGCTGCCCACGTCGACGTCTACAACCATCGTCGCACAGAACGCATTCTGTCCAGCATCCCCGTCGCATCAATCATACCGCACTCGCAATGTCCAGCGCGCATTATTTGAGGCGGCGAGCGGCGCTGCCTGTCGCCCGGGCCAATTATCGGTTCCCAGCACCTTCTCGCAATCGCGATCACCACGCAAACGGCGACGCTTCGCAGACCACCTGGTTCGACGAGGACACGCACGGCGGGGCGATCCAGACGCATCTGCGACGCGAGATGCAGGTCAACATTCAGACCTACCTCCAGGATGCCGGGGTTGCGCCAACAACGGCAGCTATCATGTCGACCGACATCGTCCGGGACGTCTAGGTATCTTGTCGAATGCCCATAACTCTGTCCTGCTGGGTGATTAGAAGCTGACATTCTTTCTCCCAGAAGTCTGCCCGCCGTCATCGTCGATTCTCTGTTCGATACTCCGATCGTGCCCCACCGCCTCTGCTGGTTCGCGTCGCCCTCCCATTGCTCTCAATCCGGCCCCTCCTGATACTCACCTTGTTTGCAGCGCTTGTCGCTGCTTTGATTTGGGTTTGGAAGCTACATGGACTTGATGGGATGAGTCAAATGGCACTCGGCATCTTCGGACAATGACTGGAAATGCGATATTATCAGCCTATGGGAGGAGGGGTCTTTGACACAGACTTTTGGTAGTCGCGCCTAGAAAAGAAGGCTGCCTGACCATGAGCCACAGGAAGCATGACGGAAAACTTTGTAAGGTCCGAGGTGGAATACGCCAGGGCGATACTTGCTTCAATACAACCATTCTATTGCGCGTCGGGGAATTGTGCTATCAGTAGGGCCGCCTTTCAGCGAGCAGATCCCAGTTTGTTCAACATTGACCTTATCACACGACGCCTTGCTCTGTCTTTGGCTTCTAAACCCTCCTACCACTGTATCTCTTTTGGCGCAGCATCATTTCGCTACTTTGCTTCCGCATAATGACCGGTCGTTTCTCTGTTGCATGTTGGTTCATTTGGGATGTAATCACGTTCATTTAGGACGCTGTTCCAATGGCCAAAACACGAGAAAGGCACCGCATGGTTGTAATGTACTGCTTCCAAAATAAGTTATGGACAAGCACTGTTTCGTAGTGGAAATGAGAATCTTGATGCCGGGCCTGTTTGGTATGTAAGCCGTATTCGGATCAGCCGGCATGATTATGCTAATTGGAATTGTCGACTAGTACGTTGCCCCCGATGCTTCCACGTTTTGAGCCTCTGATTACTCATGCTCAGGAAGGCCCCTTATATTCCTTCGGCCTCTATTTTCATCACGCCGAAGACATCCAAGTTCAGGCCGTCAACCTCACTCCCCAATGACGTCTCAATGAAGCCCGATCTTCAACAAGCTCTCAATGCCTTTCCGATGAGGAGCAATTGCGAAGCCAAGCCTCCTGTGATGTGCCCGTATTTCGAACACCAAATCTGCCCTCCAATGCGTTCGGCTCACCCCAGATGCTCACCTCCAAGCCGGTTTGACACGCGTTCAAGAGGAGAGATAACTGTGATTAGAATGGCTGATCCCGGCTTTGGCCTACCAGGACTGACTGCAACTTTGCGAGTTGTATCACCAGCTTCAACATAATTGTTTGGCAATCAGGCTTGCGCATTCAGATGTCAACTTATTTGGTACACTCCACGATAGGTCTATGAGTAAGCTCAATACCTTTTGAACAGGAGGAAGAATACGGCGCAGGGTTACATCGAAGTCCCTGCATCATATGAGTGACTTCTTTTCAATCGATTACAGCCGCTAAGACGAGAAAACAGACTTCACTTAAGATTGGACCCCCCAGCACCCGTGAACAACTAACGATACATCAACACCGTTCATGAACTCTGAAGGATAAGTAGATGCGACATCCAGACGACTGAAGATGTGTCGATAGGCCTGCGATTTAAGGTCGATGCCTCGAAGGACGCAATATTTGATTCCGTCAACATAAACGCTAGTACAACGGGTAAGCTATTTGAGGAGAACCCGGGTACATAAGTCCTGCTCACTCTGCGCATAAAGTAAGAGCCCTGCTCGCCAGGCAGTGTCATTTGGCTATCCGGGCAGTGTTCACCACACGCATGTAATCCGTATATCTTACTGAGACCCCCTGCTTTCCCTATACTCAAGCGATTACGTTGAATACGTCCTCTCTTTCGGATGGCCGCCATCGTTGCTGCTGTTGTACTCATCTTTCGTCGGCTATCGTCGTCGTCTTCTATCGCTGTCGTTCTTGGTCATTCCACTATAATTAAAGCGCTACGCGCGACCGATCGAAGCTGTCGGGGGCACTGCCCGGTTTGCAAAACTCTGAAGTGAATGCCATAGAATGATCCACTCTGTCCAGTATTTGGCATCCCTGAAAAGCTTCTAGTAATGAGGCGTCCCCTCCGACTTGCGATGTCGTGCCTAAATAACACCTCAACCTCTGAAAGATCACGGAGTGTAGAAATAGACACCAAGAGCGGGTTTCGCTTGTTGGATTATGTGTAATTGCTGCAAGAACGTCGGCAAGGCAAAACGGCATCGACAAGTGCGGGAGTATTACCAGGCCCAAACAAGATTCATACGGCACGTTACCTTCAATATTGACGTGACCGATATGGCCCTCAGTACATTAAACTTATCTGGGGGCTTTGCATGATTGATTTGAGACGAAGGTGGCGAAACCAACGGATGATGAGATGCTGGGACCAGCCGATAGATTGACAAAATGCGACGCTTGGTTCCACAAGTGAGCTAGCCCTTAGGAACCTTTATTTCTATCGTCCGATGCCCGGTGTTGACGAAAGCCTGAACACACAAGAGCATCCACTGCCCAAGCCGAGCGGGCACCCGATTTCCAGACAAGGGCCCGAACATAAGTGAGAGTGGAGGTTGTATCAAGTTTGAATGATTTGAGCTGGCTAAGAAGGGGCATTTGATATTTGAGAACTGCATCACTTAAGACAATCACAAACAACCTCATTGTCAGTGTCTCCAGGTTTGTGTCTGTTATGTCTCCGTCCCTCAATTAAAATTCTGTCCTGTGTTCTGATGCAATGTGAGAGCGTTCTCAATCTGCATGATCGTCGAGATGGAGTCTCATTCACAATGAGCATCTGTATAGTCACGGCAAGCGATTGTCAATAACACTGATGTGTTCATATTTGCGATGACCTCGGAAAGATGTCTGCAGATGCATTGCAATGGATGTAACTCTGCCTCCGGCTCGCCCATTGACTCCTGAGTTGCCCGTTCTGCACGGGGACTGGGCTGAACTGTGGTAAATGCTCCAGACAACCAAAGCACTTCAACGACGATTAAACATCCATTCTGACTTCACTTCAGTCAG